AGCGAGTGGAGCTTGTTCTGATTACACGACGAAACCACAGCGAGCTCGAGGAGACGTGCTCTCTGTAGCGTCGGAGGGGAGTTTGTTTTGGATGAACCCAGAAAACACATCTGGGCCTTCAGAAGGTTTCACACTTTAGTACAAATTTACGTGGCGTTATGAAACTAAAACATCCCAGAAAGAGTCCAGATGCTTTCTCTTAAAGCTGAATGTGGCGCCGTGTCCTCTTTGCACTCTAAAGCGACTCTCCTCTGTCTCCTCCGCCACCTTCCCGCTGCCCTGGCGCTCTGTCAGCGGTCCGAGCCGGGGGGTCGGTGGGGCGGAGGTTTCGCTTCGTCCGGGGTCACGGACGCTCAGCTGGGCAGGAGAGGACGCGGGCGAGTCCCCACCAGCGCCGAGCCGCGCTAATGAAGGGCCAGGCGGCCGGGAGGCCCTCGGGCTGGTGCGGACCGTCGCTTTAATTGGCCTAATGAGATGCAGCGTGGCCTCGGCGAGGTCAAGCAGCGCCGGACGGAGAGGCCTGCTGCTGGGTCGGGCTTTCGTCGCCGTCTGAGGGTTGGATGTGACACGTCTGACTCATATTCCGGGCATCGAAAAAAAATAAGGGGGTCTGAAATGATTTAGATGAAGCATTTTAATGCTGGTTGGAAAACAAAACGCTGAAGCCAGGCATTTATCGTAACAACACACACACACAGAAACAACATGCAGTCCGATTTGCCAGAGTTCTGATTATTTGGCCCGAGGAGTTGGACTTTAGCGCAAAGCTCACATTTACCTCCATGATTTCTTGGAAAGTCAAACAAGGTAAAGCAAAAAACTAGAAAGGGACGCTTCTGTGGGCGACTTTGAATTGCATACGTTTGACTTGTTTTTGTCTGAGGATGTAAAACAAATGATGTGGTGAGCAGACCGGACCGGACCGAACCGGACCGGACGGCCTCCTGCCTCCTGCCTCCTGACTTCTCATTTATTAGCATCATTTATTGTATTTTCACACACAAACCTGCAGATAATCAGAATGAATTCACATATTTTCTATTAGCTAATCAGCTGAAAAAGCACCAAAACCAAATCAGATCAACATTAATTAGATATAATTTAGTTTTTTTGCTTTTTATTTTATTTTAATCAATAATAAAACCATTGTGGTGTTAAATGGCCTCAATTCAACAATAATCCTGAAAGCTGTTCAGGCAGCAACAAAGAACTAAAAAATAAAATCTGATATCAGTGATGTGAAATGATGGACCTTGGTTGTTTATTCAGATGGAGCTGGAAACGCAAAGGCGCACTAATGAATCAAACTCTGGGGCTTTTATTTTTCCTTTTTTCTTTTTTTTCTCCTCCTCACACTAAAGAGCCTTTTCTCTCTCCTCACTGAAAGAGTTAATCTGAAGTTGGCAGCCAACTCCTCTCAGTCTCGGTCAGACGTGCGGAGAATTGGAAAATAAAGGACTTTAAAAAATCATTTCTTTTGTTATGGAGCGGTTTGGGAGGTTTTACGCAGCAATTTCTCTTTGTTTTGTTTTTTTTGTTGTTGTTGGAAAAATGAAATTTGACGCAACGGAGAAGGCTTGAATTGTGATTTTTATTTTAAAAAACAACCTGAATTTGATGTTTAAATGTATTAAAGGTGATCGATTTTTTTTTTTAATTGGCGGCTGGGTTGTAGTTTCAAAATAAAACGAGCAGGATTACATTTGAAACAATCGGTGCGCTTTTTACGCAGCGGAGCGCGCGGCGGGTTTCGCGCGTGGCGCTGCGTTTGCGGGTCATTCGGGGCCTCGCTGGCACTCGGTTTTTGCTCCATTTTTAAACGTATATTTGCATGTGTTTCGGAGCCTCTCCTCTGTCGGTATTAACTGACGGCGGGTTTTAGTAACGGTGTAGCACAAATGTGGCGCTTGCGGGAATGCCAACCCTTTTTTTTTTTTTCCTTTTCCTCTCCAGCTTTTTTCATTTCCATGTTATTCCTGGCATCGATGATGTCTTCACTCTTTTATTTATTTTTTTTTGCATATTTAGAGAGAGAAGGAGAGAAAAGAAGAAGAAGAAGAAGGAGTGATGGTGCATTTTTAATAGTTTTGGCTGCGTTTTTTTTTTTCTTTTTGCGCTTATTAGCGATTTTTTTTTGTTTATTTTTGGAGAAACATAGAAAATAATCCATGAGTTTAATTCGGTCTATTAGTGGTGAAACCCGCGATGGGAGGCTTTAATTATGGACCCCCATCATGTGCACACGTTTTGGAGATTTTTTTTATTTTTTTTGCAGCTTGTAAAAGAAAAAAAAAATCTCTAATTGATAATAAGCCCTTGAATTAAAGCTCAAGGCACTAATTTAATTTCCAGGTAAGGAGATTAACAGTTTCCACGTGTGCTCAGATAACCTAAATAAGAACATATCCCTGCATCCATCCATCCATACAGTACAGGCCCCAGTGTGCTGCAGCAGATAGTCTACAGTACAGCTCACCCACAGATCCTCTCTGGATCCTCTTCCTCCCTCCAGATTTTGGCAGATTTGAAAGAATCTGCATCACAGTTATTCCTGGAAAATAAATTTGTGACTTTTCTTCTTCTCCGTTCCAGCCAGCAGCCCTCGTGGAAGGCAAACAGCATAGCTAAGGAAAATGACTTAAAGCTCCTTGTAGTGAAATTCCACTGACATCTGAATGGTGGTTTATTTGCATTTTGGCAGGGTCACCTCAGCACGCTTTAATTCGTATTGAAAAGCAGACACACAGGAAATCGCATTCAAGTGCCAGTTATCTTCTCGGGGCTACAGTAAGTTTTCTGCAGGTGCCGATGGTGAGGAGGGGGGGAATATATATTTCATTGAATCCTTTGTCGCCATTATCGAACCGTACATCAAACTTTGGCATCAGCGAGTGAGTGTGGAGGTGTGAAGGGATGATGGGTAGGATGGAGCTCAGGCCCCTGATGTTTATCGGTCCAACGTGAATGTGTGTTGTGCTATTTCGACATCTCGGACTTGCCGAGGCTAAGAGTTGGCCAATCTGTGACCTCGGCTTCGCTCGCTTCCATCTGGTGACAAACGTTGGTCAAGTTGCACCTGATCGGTTCATTTTAGCGGCAAAGAAAAGCTTCAACTTCTTATTTTTGGACGCTGGAATCAGGAAACGTGACACAAAACGAGTTTCCTGTCAGTCGTCAACGTTTCCCTTTGCATCTACGACTCCAGCCGTCTTTGTGAGATAGTTTTCGTCGCCTCTCGTTTGGCAGACTCCCGCCTCGGAGTGCCTGTGTTGCCGCTCTATGATTCAGCAGCCTGTCTGCAGAGCAGGTGCAGCCCTGAATGACATGCTTCACGACGAGGCAACATGGCAGTCGGCGACGTCGCTGCCTCCCCAGACTGACTGAGCGCCCCCCGAAATAAAAAAAAAACCTCCCGGGAGGAAGCGAGCATGGCGCGAATTTGGGATTTTGTTGGTGGGGGAGACGTTGCTCGTTCGTCTTCCTGCTTCGTTTCAAACAGCTGAGGCGAATTCTGTTTCCTTCCCCCCTCCCTCCCTTTTTCATTTTTTTTTTTTTTTAAATTCTGTAACCATTTCTGCTTATTTGTGCTCTCTAAATCATCTCGTCACTCGTTGTTGTGTTGTTGTTTTTTTTTTCCTTCCTCCCTGTGTGCCGCGGCGAGAGGAGCGTGGCTGCCTCGGGTTTGTTTCTCCCTCTTTGTTTGCTGTGGTAAACCCACGAGCAGCTGCCGGTGGTGGGGTCTGGAGGGATTCTGAAGCTGTGTGTCCTCTCTCTCTCTCTCTCTCTCTCTCGCTCTCTTCTTTTTTTTTTTTTTGCCATCCTCTGCCAAGGTGGCATTATGCAAGCAGAGAGAGGGGTAGAGAGAGAGAGAGGAGGGAGGTTGGGGGGCGGCGGCGGTGGCGGCGGCGGCCATCATAGTAAAGATGGAGGCAGGCTGAGGGGCTGTGGGGATTGGTGCAGGAGAAGACTTGCTCCCCTGAACTTTGCCTCCCGTGTCAGAGTGGAACTTGTCGATTTGGCAAATTTGTGCAGCGTCGGACGAGGCTGCTCGCTCGCTCTTACCCTCCCACCTGCTCTCTCTCTCTCTCTCTCTCTCTCGTCGTTGCCACTACACTCCCTCTCCTCCTCCCTCCCTCCTCCCTCCCACACCCCTTCTCCTCTTTCTCTTTTTCCCTCCCTTTCAGCTCTTGAAGCTAACGCATTGGCTGGGCTACAGGCGTCTTGTTGCCAAATAGGTGGGCCCTACTCGCGCTGGCAAAGGCTCAAGCAATGGTTAGGGAAAGAACGCGGAGAGGACGAGAGACGGCGAGCGAGAAACAGAAAGGGAAAGAGAGAGAGTTGGAGAGAAAAGGGGAAAAAAGAAGCAGCACTCGGCTTTGCCAGCGGTCGTATGCGCTCGTCCAACATTGATTCGGCTCTCTATTTTTTTTTTTTTTTCTTCTTCTTCTTCCCTATTCTGTGCTCTGCTCTCCCTGGCCCCCCCATCTGTGTGTGTGTGTGTGTGTGTTTGCAAGTGTGTGTGTGTTAGTGTGTGAGTCTTGCGCCGGGCCCAGGGATCAGAACAGACACCACTACCAATTACACTTTGCCAAGGATTTTTTTTTTTACCCCTCCAGGTTCTTTTTTTTTTTTTAATTTTTAAATTTTTTTTTGGAAAGCACAAAGGACTGTTTATTTTATCTCCTTGTTGTTGAAGTTTTTTTTTTTTTTAGTGCAATATTTCTATTTTAAGTTTTTTTTATTATTTTATTTTTATTTTTTTTTCTATCTAATGAACTGTTGGCAGTGAATTTTCTCCTTCCCTTAAAATCTTTTTTTGTTTTTTTTTATTATGATTTTAAACTTTAGCCCACTGTTTTTAGTGAGCAGCATTTTCTACTAATTATTTTTAATTTTTTAATTTTTTTTTTTTTAATAGCCCACCCTCCCAAGTTTTTTTTTTTTTTTTCACTTTAAACGCTGTGCCAAATTTATGATGAGAGTGCAAAATGGTAACTACCAGGCCGTCTGTCTTCCTCTAGCAGTGTGGTGGTTTTCTGTGGTGATTTCTGTCTGCTTTCAGTTTGTTGTGGAAATGTGAGTCTGGTTGGAGCTCCCTGTGCATGGTAGCAGAGATAGGAAATGGTATGGCTGATCTTTTAGCGGCACATTTCAACAGTGGTCTAGTGGCGGCAAAGCTTGGCGGTGGTGGTGAGCGACCGGTGTGTGGCAACCCTGGCACAGGAACGCTGTGGCGAGATCTGGGCTTTGTTGCCCAGAGATATGTAGTGAAGGTATTATTGGTACAGCAGAATAACTTCTCTTTTTACAGCGGCAGCAAAAAAAAAAACCGGGAGCGCAACTTGGCTCAGCCTCGTTTTATTTTTTATTTTAATCATTATTTCTGAATGCTTTGTTGTTTATTTTTGAATCGCGTTGCACCTTCTGCATCGTACGGTTAAGATTAATTTCCTCGTTTGTTGCTGCATGTTTGCATGTTTATGCTTGAAATGAGGAAGTGTTTTGCATTCTTATTTTTATTTAGAATGCTTTATTAAACCATTTGATTTGGATTTAAATTAACATGTAATTGTATTAATTTTGATTATAGTTAATTATAATATTTACTGTTTTTCTTTTTAATTAAGAACTGTGTGAATGTTTTTTAACAGCTTTATTTTAAAGCACTTTTCAGCTGAAGCTTTTATTTTCAGCCTCCTAACCGAACGTCTTTCTCTCCCCCTCCTCCCTCCCTCCCTCCCCACCTTCAGGATGAATTTCATCCCTTCATTGAGGCCCTCCTCCCCCATGTCCGTGCCTTCTCCTACACCTGGTTCAACCTGCAGGCCCGTAAGCGCAAGTACTTCAAGAAGCACGAAAAGAGGATGACCAAGGACGAGGAGCGCGCGGTGAAGGACGAGCTGCTGGGGGAGAAGCCAGAGATCAAGCAGAAGTGGGCCTCGCGCCTGCTGGCCAAGCTCCGCAAGGACATCCGGCCCGAGTTCCGCGAGGACTTTGTGCTCACCATCACGGGGAAGAAGCCCCCCTGCTGCGTGCTGTCCAACCCCGACCAGAAGGGCAAGATCCGCCGCATCGACTGCCTCCGCCAGGCCGACAAGGTGTGGAGACTGGACCTGGTGATGGTCATCCTGTTTAAGGGCAGCCCCCTGGAGAGCACGGACGGAGAGCGGCTGGTCAAGTCGCCTCAGTGCTCCAACCACGGCCTGTGCGTCCAGCCGCACCACATCGGGGTGACGGTCAAGGAGCTGGATCTCTACCTGGCCTACTTCGTCCACACACCAGGTATGCGACACCTACAGACCCCCCCCCCCCCACGTTCCCCTCATGTTATCCCGACACACACACTTTGCCATGTGACTCACAGATTAGACCCTGCCCTTCGCTAAGCGTCGAGCCGAGCCAATGCCAAGCTTTGATAAACCCAGTCGGGGCTGAGATAAGGACCGTGTCTTGACTTTTAAAGGGACAGTCTGCGCCGTATAATCCTGCAAAGAAAACAAAAAAAAAAAAAAACCCGTCCTCCACGAGATGTTTCTATCTGGTTTAAAGAGATTCTGAGAATTTGACAGTCGGGCTTAAAACCGGTGTTTACCTAGAGATATGTTTGCATTGGTACATTTGTTCAAGTATTTGTGTGCAAATTTGTCTAAATCCAAATGTGCATGTTTTCCGGTGCCATCTGTAAACAAAAGCATCTGCAAACCTGTTTATCTGCGTGTGCATGCATGTGCATACGTGTGCGCGCGCGACAGAGAGAGGCAGTTTGTCATGTGTCTGTAATCCGTGTGTGTGTGTGTGTCAGTAGCTGTGTGTGTGTGTGTTCTTTTGTGTGTGTGTGTGTGTGTGAGAGTGTGAGTGGTGGTCTGGAGAGCGCGGTGACAGCTGGCCCGGTCCCAGGTAGTTTAGGAGGCAGAGAGAGTCAGCCTGTCTGCAGCCTCGGCCGCCTAACGCCGCTCTGCACACACACACACACACACACACACACACACACACACACACACACACACACACACACTATAGGGCTCTACCTCTAACACCCCGGCTGCCCCGTTCGTCTGATTGCAGCAGCAGCTTCGTTAAAACAAAAATATTAAACGGACCCGACAAATAACAACCGGATCGTTAATTATATCTGGACTTTTATTTTATATTTAATTTGGTGTATCTTAGCAGTGACGCTAAAATTACCATATGAAATTATTAATTAGGTTTTTATTGCTTCTGAAAACAGAAAAAAAAAGAAAACAGAGCATTAGATCCACGTTAAGCGACTACATTTGTAGATTAATTACTGAGATGCTGCTGCAGTGGGTCTTAGGAGAGCAGGAGTGGAAATGAGCCACTTTAACTCCGACAGAAGTGATTCTTTTAATAAAAACGTGAGGATAAAGTTGAATAAAAGTGGTGTTAGAGGAGGAGCTGATGTGCTGCATCTCGTCTGATTTGCGGTGACGCGTTCTGTTTGTCGTCACTGAGCAGCCTTCAGGTGTTTGCAGGTGGAGATCAGGTGTCTCGACGCGGCTTCTTCGAGCCCTTCGCCATCATCCCGGGCTCTCTTACCGCGGACTGGCATACAGTTACAGGGCCTTAATTCTTCTCCTTGGCAGGGAGGTGCAGCGCTGCTCTGTGACAGAGTCCCCCATGCCAGGCTCCTTTCAGCCCAGTGTGTAACTCTGCTTGAGTTTGCGGGGCCTCCGTGAGCGCCTCTTCCTGTTCCACAATGCGCCGTGGCGAACCGCGGCTCAGATTAGCTCCCAGCGCAGCCTGGTGCCCCTCGGAGTAAAGCCTTTTTTTTTTTTTTTTTAACCCCGTGCCAGAATCCAGCAGCCAATCACCCCCGTACATACAATGGACTAGCCTTCCTCTTTGCGCATCACATTTCTTTTTTTTTTTTCTATAAATCTGTTTCTCACACGGCGAACCGTTTCTTTAATTGACCGTTTTTGAAAAATAAAAAAAATTAGGAAGCGCTCGTGTTTCATTCTAAACGTCGTATTGTTCGTTTTTGTTTTCCTTCGCTCGGCCAAATGCTTTTGCAAGGCGCAGGTCCACGACTGTGGGCGGGAGCAGGCTTCCTGTTCTGATCCTGCTCAGCTTTTCCACAGCAAATCTCAAAGGCAGCCTGTGCAGCACCTTGCAGTGGAACGGTTTGGTTTTTAAAGAAACCAACAAAAAAACATCCACCTTTGTGCGCGCAGATCTCTGTGTTTTCCAGGAGGCAGGCTGGGGTTAAGCAGAGTTTACTGAGGACAGACAGACAGTGGCTCCATTCTAACCTTTGGGGTGGCAGCGGTACAGTTTTATTCTTAGCTCTCCATTCCAGGGTGTCTGTGTCTTGCGGAAGCTATCAGTTGCCAGGCCTGATGATTGGACCGCGGCCGTCCTCACCCGCCCGTCCCCGCCGCGCTGTTTCACTTCTCTTGTCCCCGCTGATGTCACTGTCGCCAGCTGCAGGGGGGGCTCTGCTTTCAAGCAGCGTGATTGACAGGACAGGAGATACACCCCCTCACACACACACACCAGCGCCGCTAACCCCCTCCTCTGGTTCTGCTTCCCCACAGTACAGTATGTGTCTCTGCTTTTGTCCAATTATAGACTTGGGTCGGTCCAGGCGGGGCGGTGGGAGCGGGGACGGATCAAAGCTGCTCCGCTCTGATCTGCACTCCTGCACTGCAGCTGCAGAGCAAGATCCCGCCGCCGAAATGATCATTTTTCTTTTGACAAGTACCTGGCTGCGCGCAGAGCGTCGCGTAATTGTCGCGGACTGATGAGAGTGGACCCCAAAAGTGGTTCATTTGATGATGATAACAATAATGGTTCAGGGATGTGGAGGAAGCGAGGGAGGCGGCGGCGGTGGGGAGGGGAGGGGAGGAGGGTCTGATCTCATCTTTGATCACATGTCTGTCGAAGTCTGGCTCGTCAGCCGGGCGCTGCGGGCCTTCCTCCACCTAGAGACCCTGGCGCAGGTCGTGTTGTTTCGAGCGACGCGTTCGGTATCCGTCAGCCTGACGGAGCCGCGCGCTTCCAGCATTAGTCATGTTTGGAGCCCGAGCCGCCGCCTCATACGGCTTTCATTACTGTTATGATAAAAAGATGTTTCTGCCGAGTGCAGCCTCCGTATCTGTCCTCTGCACCGGAGACAGACGGAGCTGCCTGGGCCACGTCCGAGAGCAAACTGTGGTGCCAGACGAGCGCCGCCGCCGCGACGACTACCAACCTGAGACGCTCATTTAGCCGTCGGCGCGTCTTTGTGCGCCGTCCCGACGTTTCCAAATGACCAAGAGAGTGTCTTTTAATAGAGACAAACAAAAGAGAGGGACTTGGAGACAGACAGCCAGACTGAGAGACTTAACGCCTTCACGTCACGCTAATCCATCAAACACATCTTATCTGCTTTGCCCAATATCCTGAGCTTCAAAGGGAGGTAACACTATCAGATGCGGTTACATAATGAAGAAGAAATCAAACGGGACAGAGCGGGATTTGTGGGTTTTTGTTGTTTGTGTTTAGACGCTATACGTCGCGGAAAAACGTGATTCCGGGTTGTGTTGTCGTGTCGGTCGTCGAGTGTTTGCACAAGAAGGAGGCGCGATGATTAAAAACTGGGGGGAAAAAAACCAAAAAAAAAACTGGTGTGTAGAGATTTTCTGGACCGAGAGCAGAATTGTGCTCCAGTGTTCTGGCACCGGTCCATAACCCGGGCCGACGGAGAAAGAGAGAGTGTCGGCGCCGAGGGAGTCGCATTCATCTGGTGTGAAAAACGCTGCTGCTCCGACACTTCCAACGGAAACTTTCTTACTTTGCTTTGTTGTCATTTGAAATAATGCGCCCAATAAAGTTTCGGCGAGCCTTCACCGCCGCCTCCCCCCGAACCAATGACGGGACACTTTAATATGCACCGAGGCACCGCGGCCTCCGACTGCACCGGCTTGGCATATTTTCAGAGCCCCCAGTTTTTCCAGTAGCTTTTTTTAATGTGTGTGTGTGTCGCAGAAAGAAGGGAGAGAGAGAAAAGACGAGCGGAGTGTGTGGAGTGTAAGGAATCGCTGGTAAACAGATTATTCCAGCGCGATCGGGCTCCCGAATGAATCGGTGAAAAGACGCCGATCCCCCTGACCTCCTTTAACCGCCCTCTCTCTCTCTCTCTGCACAACTTTTTCCGGCGCTCTATAGGTCCGACCTCGGAGCAGCTCCTCGGCGCTGGTCGCCGTCCAACCTGCTTTATATTCGCTGTAATTATCCAGTTTAGTGAATAATGCTGGAAAAAAAGATGCACAAAAGACGGAGGGTATGATTGAATTATGTCTAACTTTGAAACGAAGGTCAGGTCTTAGCTTTGCAAATAGAAAAAGCCCGTTAAGCAGAAAGCGCTGGTTGTGGGCAACACGCAGTCGCTTTATTTACTAATTTCACTGTACAGTGATTTTTAATTATTTGTGTAATTAAGGTTAATAAATAAATGTTATGGTGTCTATTTAGCAGCTCGCTTTGCTGTCATTTAACAAACAGAAATTAATTTATTTCTCAAGAGATTAAATTACTTAATAATCTGCATTAATGAGTAGAAGCTAATGCAATAAAATAAATACTCTTCAGTCTTATTGAGCGTTTGCTGCCTTGGCTTCTTCTTTTTTTTGTGTATTATTTTTAGTCTCCCCGACACTGTTTGGTTTCAGCGTGTGAATTTGCATGACCAGTTCCCCCTCTCCTTCCTCTGTACAGGCGCCAGGCCTGAAATCTGTCCGTCCGCTAAAAACATACGTATCCCGGCGCAGGAGGAGGGGTGGCTTGGCTTCTGAGCCGCCGGAGCCGAGGGGCAAAGAGGGCAGGAGAAGGAGAAGGAGAGGTGAAGACAGCAGAGGAGGAGAAGGAAAGAAAAGGAAAAAAGAGGGGAAAGGGAGAGCGTCTTTTCTGGGCCATTTCCCAGCAGCCAGATTCTGATCAGTCCGCCTCGCGCCTTGTTCCCTCGGTCCAGTGGAGCACAGCTCGCCGAGGCTGCCCTGTAATTGGGACAGCTCTTTCCATACGGAAAACGGGACCGGAACGCCGCGCGGATCCCCCTCCTCCGTTTGGATTTATTTCTAAAATTCAAAAAATTAGAAACAAAATAAATAATAATAATAATAATAATAAACATCTCCCCCTCCTCCTATCGCTTCATTCATCCTCCCGTTTAACGCCAACAAACGCCCGTCAGCGCTGTTAGGACGATACTGAGAGCTGATATAAAGTAAAAAAGAAAAGCGTAGAATAAAGATAATGCAAAATGCCATGCCGAAAAC